TTTCGATGGTAATCTCAACGAGCGACTAGCGGTTTGATGTGTCAATCCGACCGAGCGTCGATCGCTATCAGTCGATAGCTCCTATTGGGCAACCGCCACGCTTTGTTATCCTAACGGACTTATAAAATTCGACGGTCCATGAACAGGCACCGAGCGGACAATACCAGCCGCCTTTCCAATAAATATTTCCGTGAAGCCTCAATTTACATAGACAACCGGCCGCGACAATTATAGGTTTCGAATGAGTTTCACGCGTCCTATTTCTGCTTGTAACACGGCAATCGAGTACGCGGCCGGTCGGCGCTACGATCCGCACACAAATAAATCGTTAAGCGAATTTCCCAACATGGCTTCCGCGGATACGGCCAATGGGAGGCGGAGGGCGGTGCGGGGCGGGGGCGGCCCGGCGCTGCATCTTCGTGTGAAAATTTAAAAAATTACGAGCACCGCTTTTATTTTTATGACCGCTTCGACGATGCTCGCAGGCGCCCGTCTACCGACGTGATAAACTTCCACCGAGACACGATCGGGAATCCAGAACTTATAAATTACTTTATAGCTGTACACAATATTTGTGCACTGAAATTACTTGCCCGTCAAGTACATTCAACGGTATGTATGTAGGATTTACGATTAAAAACTATTTAACCTGTTGCTGTTATTTAACTCTAGTCTTACCTATTTATGTAAGTATGAAATGTTTTCATACTAGACGCTTCAAATTGTTAGAGAATTGACAAAAGTTATTGTCCTACGACACCAAACCGATATTTTGACTCAATTACAAAGCAGGAGTTATTGTAAGAGCACAGTATTGACTGTAGTATGTTTACTGGCAGTTTACAGTACATTCGTACGTATAACTTAGTATTTCAAAAGACATCTAATCACCTAAAGCCACCAGGAGTTTATGTACTTTATGAATAAATAGGTAGCGCCATCAAAAGAACCTACAACATCAAAGTTTTGTCGACCCTCGCTCTATTCCGAGAGCCCTTCCTTCTATACGTACCCGTCCTTATGTGAACGACACACACAACGACACCGCTATTACATTTACTACACGGCTGAAACTATCGTGGTGTGAGTGAACACGATGAAAATCTTTATTTTCACGCTCTATCTCTCTTTATCTAATCGCCCCGGTCAGATAAGGACGGAGCGCCGGAAAAACTGGCGCGGGGCGAGGGGTAAAGGCTACATCGATTCCGCGCTTTCACTGCTAGGGGCCGTGTAAACCTTTAAAAACATTGCTTTTGCCGCGCGATTGTCATCTCTAACTTTATATGGATAAGAGGAAATTTTCAGTGCGGTGTTGGGCCTGGTAAATGGATTGCCTCCCCCTTGGGGGTTCTCATAGTGGGATCTAGATGGTGTAGATATGCTGATAGGCGGCGGAGTGTGCGCGCGATGTGACTGTGTCTGTGTGAGTAGCGCATAGCTTTGTGTTTTCCGGCTACAAAATCGTGTAGGTATGTATTGTAAGAGGGCTGCTTCCGGGCTGGATAAATTTTGCTTGTGTTAGCAAATATATGAGGGGACGTAGGTATCCCTTTTTGCAATATAATTTTACGTTGTAGCGCAGATAGGTAGATAGATTAGGCAAGACGGAGGCTGTGATTTGATTTGATTAGGAGGTGTTTGCAGTAGGGTCGGGGGAGATAACGCTGATTGGATCGCTCGGGGGGCACGGCTTTATGGAAATATGTTTTTAATGTGGGTGGTTTATTGAATTAGCGGAAGTTAGTGTGAAGCGACGCGGGAGTAATCCGTTTGATGTGTCGCTGTTCATAATTAACTGGAGGTTCAATGGTTCGGTAATATGATTTAGATATTTAATACGTGATGTTATCACTTTCTAGCTACAGGAATTTTGTTTGGAATTTAAGGCAGCTGTTTCTGAAGCTCGGTAAAATACGAATTATTCTTGAAATTAGGCAGATAAGTGCTATTGTGCAGTGTCCACTTGATACGGTCAGCGTGCTTCTTTATGCTGTAAAGCCGCTTGTAAGAGCACAAAGGCGATGTTTTTGTTCCCGTCACGTTCACAATGTAGTCGTCAGTTGTCGCAGCTCTTAAGTTTACACTACAGTGGAAATTAAAGTGGCCAACAACAGTACACTCTGTTTGTGATCGTATTTATCTTTGTCGGCATTTGTTTGTTATTTTTTTTGGCGTGTATGTAAGATATCGATCCGAGAGGAATGTCGTTGACAGTGAAATGGGTTCAACAATTAATAAACCTCTCTGAGGTGGAGGACAAGTGCTCGAATGCTTGGGATTCTTTGTATTTTATACAGCCGCATCGTTTTTTAAATGAGTCTGAGAAACAATCCTTAGGTACTGGTGATCAATAACGCACCGTCTAGGAATTTGATAGACATTATTTTTATCAAAAAAACAATTCGTTTTATAGTCTACAATAAATAAAGGTACATTTTATACTGGGTCATCTGAATACGGCGTTAGCCTGGCAAGGTCCGCGCAATAAAAAATGACCCAAATAAAAAATAATCCGACTCGTAAAATTTACGAGTTTTCCAGCCATTTCAGCGTTTGAGGAGAGAAAGTAATTCGTCCATAAAATTACGAGTAAACAGCCGTTTTTCCACTGAAATAAAACCGGGGGTGGAGAAGTCGGTTGGCTATGGGTTGACTTCTGTAATCAGCTTACCAGTCAACCCCTCTGATTTAGCCCCTTCTCCCATGGGATCACGCGTGATGCACCAACAGTTATAACTTGATGGGAACTCTTATCTCGCTTAATATAATCGGATTCTGGTAATTGAGTTGTAAACTAGTGCAGTTAATTTTGATATTAAGCGGATATGTGTTGTGGATTTATATCGCTAGACCTATATTTGCTTGGACATTAAAATTTAGACCGGTTAATGTTCTATTTAATTTATTATAGTACCTATACTTATATGGGACTTTATGTTTGTATAGGTATAACTTCAGTCTTTTTATTCCTTTTACTTGCAAGATATTTACATTCATACCAGCATCCATCTTAGACAGCACATCTGTCAGTCCGACATTTATATTTATTTAAAACATCTCTCAATACGACATAAATACATAAAAAGGCACAGAAACAAAAAGTCTGAAGCTCGTATGACACAAAATGGAAGTTGGATTCTACAATGAGAAGAAAAAGTTTATAGGCTCGGCTAATATGGCCAACTCTAATCTCATACAGGCACAAAGGAGCTGCCATGACGCAGCGAATATTGACGCGAACCATTTAATATTTAGGTATTCCAATATGCAGAAGTACTGGCAAGTCGAACGATTGTTCATGATTAAATATAAATTTTGAGACGTTCTATTTTCAAAAAGTTAATTTTTTGATATTATTGCTCATATTGCTGATCGCGGATGTTTACAATGTTTTGTTTACAATAAAAGGAAAATTGGCATTGCAATAAAAATTTCAAGGTTATTTAGATAAAAAGAAAATTTGACGTTACTTCTAAGAACACAAAGTTAAATTAAAGACGGTCATGTTTTTAAATTGATATCGATCTAGTATGATAACAAATTTAATCACATACATTTTATTGTAACTTGAACATGATTTACAAATAGGTTCTTTATGTTACAAGATTAAATGTAATATTTAAAATTCCGTGAAGGCCAGTACAAAGATAATGGTATCATAAAATCAAAGTTGTGTTGGAAGTTGATAAAATGACTTAATGTTTTATCATTGAATATGAATGATAATAGTAATATTTAGTGGATTAAAGTGTATACGCTGCACTGATTTAATATTGCGCAGTAGTAGGCAGTGTAGATTTTTATTCTATGGAAATGTAAGACTTTTGTGTTCGACAGTACCTCTGTTTGAGACCGACACAGTCACTTACGATATTAAATCGGACAATACGACGGTGCGGTCACGATAATCTTTGGTAGTATTCGATTCTAGTTACCGAGAACTTGAGCCGGTGTCCCGAATAGTGCGCCTCTCGTAATGTTTTACGACCTCAATACTTTTTATTCGATAAATGACATGACAAATTAATGGATTTATTATGAGTGGGATTGCGCCGGCTCTTTTTATTTTGGTGTCGGTTTAGGACGAATGCATTTTTAATTGAGTGAGGCACTTTTGTGGACTGTATAAAACGGCCACCGCATGCCGTTGATATTTTTTGTCTGATTGACGGGTAGTAATGGGCAGGTGCGTAAGAGAGCTCGCCGATAGCTACCTCGCTTTTTCGTTTCGATATTCGAATATTCACTTTTTGTCGGTCGCGTCGTTTTGCGAGTCAACTGTCCGTATTTTATGTTGATTGTTTTAATGTACCCACATTAATAGGGCAGTAAATTTTGACTCTATAATGTTTTCGGTAATAATATTTAGAGGCAAGCGTTTTTTTATCACTTTAGCCTCAGAGTTATTGGTTTTGTGGTTTAATAATTAATTAATTTGTATGTGGACCTACATCCACGTTTCAGTAAACATTCAAATGTCGTTTCGTATTGCGTCCTTTTATAAACTCGACGTAAGTAATCATAAATTGTTTACATCTGTGGGAGTTTGAGCTTCGCATTCAACTATTTCATTCGCGTGTTCTTTTATTATCTTTATTACGAGATTGCCCTTTGAAAAAATGGTCCTTTTAATAATAAACGTATTACTGTCACGTTACTGGACAATAAGTTCTTGAACAGGTACAATCAATAACAACAGGAATACAATAAAATTTAAACACTATTTGATGCCCATGTTCATACATTAACTGACTTCAGCTGTCCTACATACCTATATATAAATTGATGGAAATTTAACATCATTGTCTATGAAACTTACGAAGATTGTACTGTATTTTATTTCATGTATTACTCTATGATCTGTTTTATATCTCTTTATAATGACTACCGGCTTTGGGCTGGATCTACACGTAAGAGCACAATCTCAGCAACGCTTTAATATGCCTAAGTACCTACCATTACCTAATAATATTAATCTGTATATATGTTTGTTACAGTCGCTACAAAGTGCAGCGCGAAGGGCAGGCACCTCCTGTGCGAACTGCAAGACGACGACCACGACGCTATGGCGACGCAACCAAAATGGCGAACCAGTCTGCAACGCGTGCGGCCTTTATTACAAACTACATAATGTAAGTACATCTTTATATCTAAATAATTGCGTCCAGGGATATATAGGGACATCCTGTATGTAATTTTAAAATATCGCAAGAAAACTCCCGATATTACCCGAGTCATTAAATAAAGGAAGTACCACCATGTACACAATAATAAAGACTTTTCTATTAAAAAAACAAAATTCATAAGCAATACTTTTTTTTGTAATAAATGAAAAAAAAACTATAATTAATTAAACACATATATGTAAAAAAAAATGTAATCTTCTTCTTGGGTTGGTCACACGCGTATAGAATTAATTCTAAATTTAAAACAACTTTAATAGGCTCGATTGATCGACTAGTTCTGAATGGCAAATATATCGGATTCCATAAAAGGAAAGTGTTAAAAAACAAGTATTTTAAAAATAATATCATTAAAATACAAGATTTATTGTTTCACCGACAGTAACTTATTGGTGTCAGTGGACAAAATTGGAACTAATAAAACCTTAAACTGACTGCCTCGTTGACCGTGTATTCGAAAGTGCGACTGCCGGACAAGGGGTCTCAGGTTCGATTCCCGGGTCGCGTGAAGCAATACTGGGATTTTAAATAAAAATCTCAGTAGTAGCACGGAGTATGGAATTGTGCCCGGTATATGGTAATAGGCTCAACCCCTATTACATGGCAATTATAACATACCTCCTGAAAAGTGGGTGTTACATTGTATAGTGGCACTAAGTGACGTAATGTGCACTTCTGCCTACCCTTTCGGTGACAAAAGGCGTTATGTTATGTTATGTTAAAACCTTAAACAAGTTATCAGTGCAATATTTTATTTGCAAGAAAACTAGCGACACTGTCAACTGTATAAGTAAAATGTTTATTAATTGGTTGAACACTTGATTAATATAATAATTATCTCGTGTCTGTTGTATTTAATAAACATAATTTTGTAATAAAACGAACTTTGACTTGTTAGTTATTGCAAACTACATACATATATTAAGATAGGTACTATAGAAGACAAGATACGCGCAATTTCCCAAAAGCAAGGTTGGGTTTATTTGCACTACTGTGTTTCAACACTCTCCCTTCTAAAACACCCCTTCATCTGTAAACAACTCCCCCAAAAATTCAAATTAAGAATCAAATTGTCTACAACCATAATAAAATACCTCTAATATACTGAAATAAATCGGTCCCTAGTCAGTTAATCTGGGGTGTCCCCTGCGATGCCCTCCCTTGGGGCAAAACGATATCGCAGTGATAGGAATTTAAGGGTCAAACCAGGCTTATAAAGCGTTTTTGGATGATTTTTTTACTTTATGGTGGTGTGTACCATCGTACCACTATATACCTACAACCATACCAGCTTTCTGGGCTTGTAGAGTTAAAATTTCGGCTGTAAACAGATCTGATAACCTTTATGCTAAGTAGCCATAATTACATTATGAGACTTGATGCAAGCATTCTATTTTGGCATCATTTACAAGACAATCAAGCGTCTCCGATTGATAGTGGATGTCCCACGCTCACAATCACGAAGTACTTCGCATCAAGCTTCCTTGTGCTCGTGGTACTGCTAAGGAATGGAATTCTTTACCAGAGTCTGTGTTTCCTGAAGGGTATATACAACCTGGGTGTCTTCAAGGCTCTATTGAATAGGTTGCTTATGGGCAGACGTGCTTTCTCGTAGGCTGCATCATCGGTTACCACCAGGCGAGATAGTGGCAAAACGTCCGCCTATCAAATATAAAAAAAATACATTATTTTTTTCGGTAACATAAAATACCTTTAGTCAAATATCTAAATCGGTCCCTAGGTAGTTAATCTGTGTTGTCCCTCGATAGTCTACCCCGGGATGTGACGGTATCTTGGTGACAGATATCCAAAGGGGGCACCCCGACTTGTAATGCGTCATAAAAGCCAATACGATTGTCTCCGATGAGTTACTACCATTGTGATACCGTCTCTAAACGGTTAAATAACGTTACATTAGTGTTGGGGAACGATTAATGCGATTCTGTTTATCGATTTCATTAATTGGTCCTTTTTATAGTACTCTGTATTTTTCTCTTTTAAGTTTTAATATAAAAACAGGTGCTAATGCATTGTTATAATTATATTAATAGATATTTATTGTTCATATTCTTTATTAATTTCAAATTAATTTTAATTTGAACAGGTGTTCAAATTAAATAATTAAAAATTCATAATTATGTTATGATTGAAATGCCATTTTAATGTCAGAGTAAATTAGAGTGATTTGTAAACTATTGTGTATATTTAGAATATAAAACGAAATAAAATATTATGTATTTAGAATGCACGTCGGTACATAGGTACTAATAGAATACAAAGAGGTAGAGTAGACAGTAGAGGTTTCTTAATGGACTGTAAGATTATCGAGAAAGTTATTAGATAAAATAACAAAAGAGAAGTAAGATTATGAATTATAAGGTTATTCAATTAGTAGCATTACATAAGTAAGCGGTAGACAGTGGCACAAAAATGAAATGTATAAAGATTTTGTATCAAGATTTGTGATAAAGTGTTACCTCACAGTTGAACAATGGTAGCGTTTCCAATATCCGGGTGTACCTGCAAAAATAGGAGCCGTTTTATCGCTGATTTAACAAGATGTAAAGTTTAAATGTCAAACAGTACTAAGTAACAATTCTCACGACTCTCACAGCCCCGACGAAAACAATAAACGTTAACCCTCACGCGATCCCGGTCCGCAGTACATTCGGCATTCGTACAGCAAAAGTACAAACATCACGCGGAACGCAACAATGACAAAAATTAACTGTCAAAGGGACCCTTCGCTGAGGGCTCTCCACATTTTTTACATTGAAATGTATACTTTATTGCCGACTCTGAGCATCGGAGCAACAATGTTGTTTGCTCTAATTATTCGGAAGGAGCGACAAAGGAGCGAATGGGAGTGCCTGCTACTTCAGACGTTGAAGGCATAATGACGGGGGCACAATACGAGAATGGCGGTAGCATTGTCAAGGGTCTGCTCCCGCCTCTTCATACATATTTATACACGACTCACTTACACATTCGCTACAGATTCCATGCCCTTACAGACCAACATTCCACAAGCAATAGATACTCCTAATTAATCAAAAACATTTGCTAAATCATGTTTTTAGTGAAACCATGAATAGAAAATGAAGATAGATATTCAAATTTTGACATTAGTTGTTGACACATAAAATTGATACCCGGATTGTAAAGTCTCGCTGTTTAAACACTACAGTTTATTCAACGGACCAGAATAATTTAGCAATTATGTATGCGTATACATAAACATATGTATTTTATGAGTGTAAATCTAACATAATTTAATGGTGTAATAAATTAGGTGTTATGTTGTGCGAACGAGGGTCAAAAATGTCTCGGTCTTATTTCTGACGATTTGCATTCTTACATTTTATAACGGAACTTACCTCTACGTATTAACTACAAAACATTTTCAATGACATTTTATTTGCCTAATATACCCTAAGAAAAAATAAAGGATCTTATTCTGTTCCAAACTACTTAAACATCATTCGGTGCTCACCCATAAATCGGCTTCGGAGACCGACCGCATATGTATAGAGATTTCAAAAGCAATTTCAAAGTAACAATGTGTAAATAAATACAGTATAATATTAGCCAGCCCTCGAGGCGGACACGTCGTGATCGATTTCACTCAAAAAACGCAATTCATACAACAAAGCACGAGCGCATTGTGATTGTGAACGAACGTCACCCTCCCACGAGGGATCTAATCGTTTTGATACTTTTATGAATAAATCAAAACCAGTTTTTTTGGTTTGAGAAAGCAAATTATGCCGACGTACTTGATAGTCGTAATACAATAAAGTTTAATATATTTTTTGTGTTTCGTTTGTTTGTTCTAATTTAAAAATATTTTATTTACTATTAATCATTGGTATTCAACAAGAGTAATCAAAAATAAGTGATGTGAAACCGCGAGAAAAAGTTAGGTACTTACCTTATTTGGCTAATCCGTACAAAAAAGAAACAGATTATTTTTATCAGGTCAAAGCTCTATAATTACCCTTTTGCGCGTGAAACGTTTTAAAAATATTAATAATAATTAAGAATAGCATTATTTTATGTTAATAAAGAAGATTAAGGATTATTTTTATCCTAAAACTCGATGTTATCTCTGTGAATAACCGAAAGTGTGATATTTTATACTAAATTTACTAAATTTAGTTTGTAAAATGCAAAATCTTTGAATATTCTCACGGTACTAGAAATTCGATAGCTGTGATTTGTGGCCTTAGATAAGAGAAATAAAAAAATAAATTATATAAACATGGTAAGAGACCTGAAATTATATACATAAAAATTTACAGAAACGTTGAATATTCTTGTCACTGGTTATGCTAAATAGTAAAATAACACTAAGTTGCAAAAAACATTAGAATTGTTACCAAGCAAACAGTCTTTCTATTTCTTATACTTATAAAGATATTATTCTTACATGCTAAAATTACCGAATAAGGTCAAATATCAACATCGTTCGAGCGGCGTATTGTTCAAACAATGCTCAAGTATGTTTACTCAAAATATATCCTTAGTAGCCCTATTTGGATGTGTAACTAAACTATAAATGCCCATAACCGCTCAAATTGCCCTCATACAGGCCATATAGACCCAAGAACCCGACAAGGGTCTTGTTATTTTGGCCTGAGAGCTATAACGCTTTGTATTATTGTTTTTAATAAGAACTTTTATAGGATTGTGATACTGTATTGTTTGATTGATGTGGGAAACTCAATAAGGATTTGTTCATGTTAATTTCTGAAGGACCTATTTATGTTACACTTTAAAGTATTTTTTATTGAGATCTGTGGGAATAAGTACATGAGGTATAAGCATGTGGTAAAGTAGGAACTTAGAATGTTATGTAATGAAGAGTGTGACAATGAATTGCAGAATTAGCCAACACGGATGAGTTGACAATTCCCAAACTATTTATACTCCCAAAGGACCCGGACTAA